ACTCACTAGAGGCCAGCAGTGACCATTCCACAGTTGTGACAACTAAGCAGGTCTCCAGATATTACCAATGGAGGCAAAAAAAGAAAAGAAAAAAGAAAATCTCAATTGCAAACCACTATTTTAAAGGAACCAACTTAGGACGAATAAATGAAGTACTACTTCCCATGTTAGTAGTCATATTTTAGTTAAAGCAACAGATGGTACAAACTGAAAATATAAAAAAGTTTCAAGAAAGGTTTGAAACCATACACAAACCCATACATCCATATACAGCCCTATAGGAATAAAGTTTCTAAAAGAGATGTGGGAATTCTGTCCGTTTGTAACTTTGAAGTAATAAAGTCCCTTTCTGGGGCTACCCCTAGATAGAATGAAGAATCAAGTTACATGTATGATCAGACCACCTAGTAGGAAACCTGAAATGCTACCCTGTCCTAGGAATCCAATTATAAATGGGTCCTGTAGCAGGCACACATTTCACAGCAGTCCTAGTGTGGCGCTGTGTTCTGGAAAATGATCCTGAACCTCCTTGCACAATAGTATCACCAGGGATGCTTTTCCAACACAGAGATTCTCAGGCCTCCTCTCTAAATCCTAATTTTACACTTTAAGGTAAGAAACAGGCATCTATAAATTTAGTAAGCACTCTAACTAGAAACCCTTGGTCAAGTGGAGAGTGTCTTGAAACGTGAGAGAAGGTTAAGTTCTCTCTGGCTTTGCCTCATCTTAAAAAATTCAACATTAGAAGAAAACTTACAGATTATGCAGAATTCTTTATGATAATAACTATAGACTGTAAATAGATACATCACACTAATGTCAGTTATGGCTCAGTTATAAAATGTCCCCCAAAAGGCTCACATTCAGAGAGGTGGCCTGGTCAGAAGGGGCAGGTAGGTCATATGGGTGTCAGTATCCCCGAATATTCACAGGGGTGAGCAGAGTATCATTTTCCCTTCTCTGCTTCCTGCCACTATGCTGTGAACAGATTTACTCACTACCTGTTCTGCCATGTGGTTTCTGCCTTGGAGTCAGCCAACCATGGATTTATGAATCCACTGAAACTGAAAGCAAAAATAAACCTCTCCTTTAAGTCATGGGTGTTGGGTATTTCGCCCTAGTGATGAGAAAACTGACTACGAATACATGGCCTTGACTAAATGGAAAGTTCAATCTGAAAAATCAAGTGTAAAAAAATTTAATTAAGTGTTGCCACAGAACCATATTTTCTAGTAGTAGATCTCCAGTTATTTCTGATGAGTTTTTGCTAAAACCTCCACACACCATTGATCATGTGAGATGTCAAACATTCCTGTGCACTCTAAAAATGACAACCCATTACAAAGATAATACTCATTCCATTTCCTATTCAGTGACACCAGAATAAATGTTTACTAATGCCACAGAGGAAATATCTATTTCTGCTATGAGAGGCTATTGATACATCTGGAAGGAATTTTGAGTCTAGCTATTATGTGAGTTTCTTTCTGAGTCAGACTGAGTTGCTATAACAAACTATCATAAAATGAGTGGCTTATAAGCAGGAGAAATATATTTCACATTAGAGCTCTAGATGCTGGAATTTTAAAGTCAGGGTACAACTTAGTCAGATTCTGGTAAGGGCCCATTTCCAGGTTGCATATGGTTGACTTTTCCTATCCTCACATGTTAGAAAGAGACCAAGGTAACTTTCTAGACCCTTTTCATAAGCACACTAATCTCTTTCACCAGGGTTCCATCCTCCTAACCTAATTAACTTCCCAAGCTTCCACTTCTAAGTACTATCATGTCAGGGATTAGATCTCAACATAGGAATTTTGGGGAGACACAAAAATTCAGTTCATAACAGTTTCTATTTCATATTATGTGGTTAAAACCTAGAAATCCAGTAAACAACTGTCCTCACTAGCTAGCTCTGAGAATTTGTCATCAGGTGGTTCCCTACGTACTAAAAATGTGACAGTTCTGGGCCAAGCAGGCCACCTTGTCAACCTTGGTAAAGCCCACAAGCTACCCTTTCAGTGGGGTCTCCCTCCATTACTTTTCCTAATGCCCACTATGGTCATCAAATCTTTTTGTGTCTCCATCCCACACACTTTCAGGTTGTGGGCATGATGCATTAGCATGTTTTTCCTCCTGAAGTAAGTGGATGGAGCTAACTGGCCCCAGACCCTGAGTTACAAGTCTCATGTAATCTGTGAGCTTCTTCCTACTGATGAAACTTAGATAAAGCACAATCACAGAGAACTTGGCCAATTTAAGACACTATCTACTTGACAAGTAGACCCCAATACTTGGGATTGTTTATGAAATATGCAGATTCCAGGACTTCCACCTCAGACTGTCTAAATATAAGCCTGAGAATCTCCATGTTGGAAAACCTTCCTAGTGATTATGACTTGAAGAAAGTTCTAGAACACTACTGAGAATACAGGGTCCATAGAGAGGTGCCATAAAATGTGTGCTTGCTGCAGATGCAGTTAATAATTGGATTTCTAAAATAGGGGGCATTTAATGTCTTACTAGTTGTGAGAAAGATCTTTGCAACTCATAAACCCAAGTTAAGGTCCAATATTTTGATCTTAAGATATACAGCCTACTAAACTTTGCTTAGGCAGGCCATTATTCCAGATGTTTGTTACAAAAATCAAGTAACTATACATAAGCCATGCCTTAATTAAGTCTAAAGTGAGTTTCAAACCTATTTAAGTGGCATCAGTTTGTATTTATGAATGTTCGATATTAATAGTTAGCTGAAGTATAATATATCCAGATACTACTATAAAAATCACTTAGTGGACTTTTTGTTATGGCCTCAACAATTAACAGTTGATTATTTATATTCACATAAGATTCAGGGCTGAGTACTAGACTTTAAGAAAGAGAAAACTGTTTTTAAATTACTATAATCTTTTATGGGCTTCAGGCCATCTGTGCTAATCTTAAGCAATCATCATCTCACCAGGGACTTACCCACTCACAAAAATCCTACAGTGCCAAAATACTCAAAGATCACTTGAGAAATCCATTTAGAAGTCCCAAGTTAAGAACTGCTGATTTGAGCATAAATTTCTTCCTTCTGAGTGACACATGGATTAGAAAATGTATGGAATTCCTATGAGAGTACCTCTTAGAAATCAGTGAGACCAACCATCCCATAATTTAAATCATGAAAGCATTTTACAAATGCCTGTCACTCTGACACTATATATCCCTGCCAAACAAAGAGACTGTCGCTGAACACATCTAGTATTCTAGATGTTTCTAGAGTCTTATATTCTAGATTCTCCTAGAAAGGCTCTGGGATATCTCATATTTATCCACGTTTTGGTAAATTCAACATCCAATCCACAAACCTCCTCTGTAAGGAGCCTTCTGCCAATTTCTGTCATTTGACACTTAAAATAGAATGTATTTCTAGCTTCTTCTTTGCATAAGTAACCCCTGGATAAACACAATATTTATTTCTATTTCACAAGGAATGTTAATAAGCTTGTTCAAAATTCTATTCACCCAGAATGAGAAAATGCAAATCTATTCTTGATATTTGGAAGTAAAGTTCATGATTTTAGTATTTTTAAAAAGATGAAATAAACCTATACACAACATGCAGCAAATATTGAACACTCTTTGCTAGATACTTATACAGCTAACCAAAAACATCAGATAATTCAAGAGTTAATTTCTATTTGGCTTCAGACTTCTTTATGTGTTTTGTATTCTATTTGTTTGGAAGTGGTGGAATATGCGGTTGGGGGAAGAAAAAGGCTGCTGTCTAATATCCCTAATCCCTCGAATACTTAACTCGGTTCCTGCCCAATTTTACTTGCATCTCCTCCAAACACAGTGGCCAACAGAGCAGGAGAGCTCGCCAGGCAACAGGAACGGCCAACTGGCCAACAATGTGCATCCTACAGAAATAATTTACCACTTACCAGCAGTGACATACTAGGCCTCAGTGTCTTTACTATGACTAGGAGTATTTCAGTGGTTACTTTAAGGATTTAATATAATACATATAAAGTGCCTAAAGGGCTGGGATCATTGAAAGTCTTAAATCACAAGAGTACAGCATCTGCTCTTAGTAGCTCCTATTAGCCACTATTATTAAAAGTATACATTCCAACACTGGAGATGACTGTTTTGTCAGCTTAGGCCACCTAGGACTGTTTTAAACAGCAATGTCTTAAATGTACTATTGCTATTGAAACAGATCATCTTTACAAATCTCTTCCTTTAACCCTTAGAGATAAGGACCACTTGTGAGGCAAACTCACCTAAGCCTGTTTCTACTATCCATACTGAAGGCAGTCTGCAAGCCTCTGACTGACTGGTCCTAAAAAACATAAGCTGTACTTTTATTTCTATTCATGTAAACTAGCATTTCTTTCCTTTCTAAATCTTCCTGGGAGTATTAATTTGCCTTCTGTTAGTCAATCCACCATCCCCAGGATTACAACTGGAGAAACTAGCAGAAAACACACTCACATGGAAATTAGTGTAAAAATAAATTGAGACAGAACAAAGATACAGGATCAGAATGAGGCAACAGTGGAGCACTCACCTCTCCTTTCCCAGTATTGGTTGATCATTTTACAGGCAGTAACAGAAGACAGGGAGTAGCAGTGCTGAAACTCCCTTATCCCTCAAAACCTCAGCAACATCATGAGTTTCAAGACAGCACTGAGCACCAGCATGTAGATCCAGGGATATAAAACAACACACCACTCCTTTGTCACAGGAGAACAAATGGGAAAATTGAAGACAAGAAGTCCTGGCAGGTGCTTTTACCTGACACTCATTTACAGAAGTCTTACTCTTGGCCCCAGCCAGAGAGATTGGTGTTCCAGCAAATCCTAATTCCTCCTACTCCGTCTCAGCTCCCTCTGGGCTTTCATGTTGCACCATTTGCCTCAAGGGTTCAGGTAGACGATGAAACAGCAAGAGGCTGAACTATCTTGAGAGTACACTATGGGACATCCCAGGGCCCTGCCTCTTACCTGCAGAATTGGCTCCATCAGCCGGCACACTCTGGCTTGATGTTGGGGCTGGGTCCTTGACTCCGTGCACCTGGGCAGCAGCTTCCTGGTTTGTCAAAAATGCAGAGCACAAGTCAGATTCAAGGGCTTGAAGCTTCAGCAAAGAATTTTTCCAGCAAAAGCAAAACATCAGGCCAGCTAAGTGGATGCCGAGCACACAACAGTGGTCTGCAGCTCCCACCGGCACCTTTCCCCAGTGCTGGAAAGAAGAGGATCGTGGCTGCAGCTGCTTCTAGAAAGGAGCTGGTTGTTCCTGAATCAGATGTCCGTTATTCCACATGCAGCCTCAGTTTCTGCCTCATTTAAATCCCAACGTGTATGGATTATCTGTGACACATGGGACTGGTGATTTCATCAGCGAGAGATGCTGCATCTGGAGAACCAATCTTGAAAGGTATCTGCTTCCCAAGTGCCGAGGCTTTACGCTTGCAAGTGCTTCATTCATTGTGCTGACATCAGGAGCTGATGACATTAGGCCCCTCCCAGGCTACCATTCATAAAAGCCACCGTCCGTCCCTCCAATGCAAAGCCTGCAGCAAACCGCAGTGCACAAAGAGTTACTGCTGCAGAGGCCGCCTGGCATCTGGGAGGGGCTTGTGGGCTCCCTTAGCCATGCTGTGTGTCTGTCTTCTAAAGTTACTTTCCTCACACAGGATGGCTGCAGCTGCCTTGTGTCAAGATCAAGGGAATCAACCCTGCCCTCTTAGCCACTGAGGGAGAAGCTGTTTATCTTTCATAGCCCCCAACACAACCTCCTGCCTACTTCCTTCATTACTCATTTTAAATTTCTCCCATGTTCTTAGTAAGAACAAGTCATACAGACTGACGCACATATCTGCCCTGATGCAGATGCCCTGCAATTGACTTCCCCAACCAGGTGAAAATGAGTCATACCTGAGGCTGGGGCTGGGTGCTGCTGCCTCACAATGGAAAAGTTTTGAAGGTGTCAGAAGCTTTTCCACCCACCCAGTGCCAGCTCTGGCAAGGGTGCCCATGGGGAGCAGAGTAACTAGTCCTTTTCCTACTATGCCTTCTACCACGCACACGCTCCCCTCCACATGCCCCATTCCCCTCACACCAGGCACACTACTTCACAGCTCTTCCCTGAACCTCACAGACAATCTCACTGCCTCCACCTTTATGCCCTAATGTTCATGCATACACACACACACACACACACACACACACACACACACACACACACACACACTCTCATATCCAGTTTCTTATACCCTTAAGTGCTACTTCATATGCACACTCTAAACCCCAAATACTTTTTTGTCCAAACTCTATATACCCTCTTCCTTTCCCCTCATACTCTGCCCCATAAATATTCTCATATTGAACTTCCACACATTCTGATGCCCTATTCCACACACACACAAACACCCCTACACATTCCCACGCCCTGTCTACCACACACATACCAACCCCACACTCTTCATCCTATTCCACACATACACCCCATTCTGGATGGCTCCACATTCCCACCTATTCTTCATACTTAATACCTTCACACCCAACCCCCACATCTTCACAACCTATTCCCCAGACACACACATCTCTACCCCATACAAAACCTCACACCTTATCTCACTTAAACATCTAGTATAACAACTCCTCACAGCCCAACTTCTTCCTCCCACACAATACCAACACACACACACACACACACACACAACCTCATATCCATTCTGTGGATGTAGTGTGTGAACTTATAGTTTTCAAAGCTGCTCATGGAGAGATGTCTTCAACCTGTTGTGCTCAGCCTTCTGAAAGCAGCAGGCATCTTAGCCAGCTCAGGATTCCCCCTCTGCTGTACCTGGATATGGGGCAGCATCTGACACAAACTCAAACTCTGTCAGGCCTCAGAGGATGCTGCCTGAGAGCTACAGCCCACATAAAGTGCCTCCCTTAGACTGGGACATTTTTATGGCACCCTCCTCCTTTCTGGGATATTTTCTCAGCAGCTGATGCAGGAGCAAGAGCTAAAGATTATTGACAGGAGGTGCAGAAGGAGCAAGGGCACCAAGTTTCTAGAAGGATTTACTAGTTAGTAAACAACCACCTGGCAGGTAAAAAGAACAATTTCAGGCAAGCTTTGCCTGCAGGGACTTGGAATGCAGAGTGACCTCTGAAAAACAAGAAAACCACCCTGAGGATTTAGAAACATGCCATGGAAATGTTAAATACTGCAACCTCTATGGAAGGATCACATGACAGGCCCTGAAACTAGTAAAAGTAGAATTACCATGTAATCTAGCACTCCCATTGTTGGGTATGTATCCAAAAGAATTAACAGTGGAGACTTGGACAATCACTTGTACACCTACATGCATAGCATTTCAATAGCCAGGAGGTATATCATGGACTGAATTCCATCATGGGCAATTCATGTATTCAAGCTCCAGCCCCCAATGTGACTGTATTTGGAAACAGGAATGGTAAGAAGGTGGGTACAGTTAAATGAGGCCATAATGGTGAGGACTTAATACAATATGATGGCTGTCCTTCAGGAAGAGGAAGAGACCTCAGGCATGCTCACACATACAGAAGGCCACAGGAGGACCCTACCAGAAGACAACTGTCTGCAAGTCCCACAGAGACTAATACGGCCAGCACCTCTCTCCTAAGGAAGAGTCCCCAGGAGAACTTAACACTGTTGGCACTGTGATCTTGGACTCTAGCCTTCAGACCTATGAGAAATACACTCCTATTTGAACCACCCAGTGTGTGGTATTTTGTTATGGCAGCCTTTGAAAACTAATACAAGGTGGAAGCAACCCAATGTCTATGCAGATAAGTGGATGAACAAATGTGTTAAACATACACAATGGAATATTACTCAGCATTAAAGATGGGGAAAGGTTCTGACATTTGCTACCACATAAATGAATCCTGAGGACATTATGCTACATGGAACTAAGCCAGTCACAAAAGGATAAACACTGTATAATTTCACTTAGGTAAAATATTTAAAGTAGTAAAATTCTTAAAGACAGAATGTACAACGGTGTTTCACAAGGGCTGGTGGTAGTGGGGGGGATAAGGGAGTCACTATTTAATGGATACAGAGTTTCAATTTTGCATGATGAAAAGAGATCTTGAGTAGATGGTGGACATGGTCGCACAACAATGTGAATGCACCTAAAGGCATTAACTTAAAAATGGCTAAAATGGCAAATTTCATATTGTGTATATTTTGCAACAATTAATTTCAAAAGAACTATAGGTAAAAGGGCTGGGGTATTTACCTTTCATTCTTTTTTTTTAATGTATGGTACCAGCAGCCTGGCTCCAAATCTTAAGGGCCAAATCTTGTATGTTCTACAAAGCAAAAGAAGGCACAGCTTTCAGGTTCCCATAGAACCAGAGCAGTTATCAGCTCTGCTATTCACTATGTCTGATTGTGGGCAAACACCCTGGCTACTCCAAACCTTGATTTTTCATCTGTAAAAAGAGCCAAAACTAACAATAACAATGGCATCTGCTTTGAGGGCTTCTCTAAACTGGAATGAGAGGAGGCATGGGAAGCACTTTGCAGAGCACTAGCATGTGGCACACACTGTGGGGCTGGACACTGGTCAGAACAAGAATCTCCAAACCCCATAGGCTCTGAGAAGAGCTCTGGCCATGTGGGGAGGCCATACTCCACACCACCTCTAATCTCATCTCTCCACTTCTGCATATGCCTAGCAGGGACCACAGGCTAGATGACTTCTAAGCCCCATTCCAACTTGAAGAGAGAGAAAAACAAATGTGCCCATACACTGAGGATGGAAGGACAGAATCTGGCACCATATGAATGCTTAGACAGGGTCTGTGGAACTGAAGCAAGGGTTCATGCAACACAAATAAACAGCAAAGGATTTCACTGCATAGGAAATCATAGTCTTTTGAACTCCTTCAGGGGGAGAGGGACAATGCTGGGACCCTATAATGGCTACAAGTATTAACTAGCTGTTCTTATCCATCTGTCTCTGCTGCCTTCTCTCTTGTACTAATCTGCGCAAGTGTCTGAGTATCACAGGAGATCTATTTGCATAGCTGGTTTATTCCTCTCTGAGGTACCAGATAGAACAAAGCTTAAGGGAATGGGAGAGAAAAAACTGGCAAAAGGAATAAGAGAAAGAAGATGAGGATCTCAAGAGGCAAGAAGATCTCCAAATAGAAGGAGAAACAACAGCTATAAATAGAGGACAGGAAGGCATAACAGAAGAAACTCTGCAGACCATCTGTCCTCAACCACATCTTGTCCTAATCCTGTACTGTCCAATTACTCAAGGAAAACCTGCCATTCAGAACCACAGAACACTCGGAAGTCCACCTGAACAGAGGGTGCCTACATGGGATGGGGCTATAAAGGGATACACACCTCCTGATGACCAAGAAACCCAAGGAAAGGGGATGGGGACTGACCTATGAACAATCCATGCCACTGTCACATAGATGTCTTTCCAGTGGACCAAAGGAGACCTCCAGCTTGACCTATCAGGGCCCAGCCCCATAGAGCTATCCCAAGAAGGCCCACAGGCATCTCACACTACATACGTAGGGTTCATATCCCTCCTGCAGACATGATGGCACAATGCAGCTCCCATGCTCAGGTGGCCTTTAGAGTACAAAGAGCTGCACCAGGCTCTAGGACATGAGATTGACATTGGCCGCTTCCTCGTTGGCTTCAATCTACTGTTATTATTTTCATATGGCTATGAAGGAAAGAAATGGTGACTCCAGGGAGTGACAAACTGTCCTTTCACTACTCAATAGTGCCTGATTTAGTGCTCTGTAATCCAAGAACACATTTTCCCTTCTACAGAAGAATGAAGGACAGTAACTCCATGTTGTCAGAGTGCTTTCTCAAGCCAGCCCTTCCCTCATAGGACTTAAACTCCCTGCAAGAGTGCTACCTCCAGCCAATCACTCAGCGCCAGCCTGCTAATGCCTTTCCGGGTCTACATCCAAAGTCTGCACAGACATATGCCTAGAATCTGCAGGAAAATCAAGTAAGGGCTAATGGATCTTCTAAAAAACTACAACTGCTTT